TTTAAATCTCTAACTAAATGCAGTTAAGACCAACTCAGCAAACTGCCAAAAAAAGTAAGTGGCTCGACCAAATTCATATAAAAATGTTACCCTCGAAAATCTCATTGACACATGCATCCAAGTCCCTTTCTTATAACTCGGTCAAAACTCAACCGATTTAAATAAGATTTGGGTTTTTATTCATGGTTTTGCCTCTAGTTTAATTTGGCATTTAAATCTGGCAACATTTTTTTTAGTCGAAATTCATGTCAATATGTTACCCTCAGAAATTGGCTATACTCATGGGTCGAAATTTCCCCTTCTTATAACTCGGTCAAAACTCAAGCGATTTTCACGAGATTTGGTTTTTTATTCATGGTTTTGCCTCTTGTTTAATTTGGCATTTAAATCTGGAAACATATTTTTTAGTCGAAATTCATGTCAATATGTTCCCCTCAGAAATTGGCTATACTCATGGGTCGAAATTTCCCCTTCTTATAACTCGGTCAAAACTCAACCGATTTAGATAAGATTTGTTTTTTTATTCATGGTTTTGCCTCTAGTTTAATTTGGCATTTAAATCTGGCAACATATTTTTTAGTCGAAATTCATGTCAATATGTTACCCTCTGAAATTGGATATACTCATGGGTCGAAATTTCCCCTTCTTATAACTCGGTCAAAACTCAACCGATTTAAATAAGATTTGGTTTTTTATTCATGGTTTTGCCCCTAGTTTAATATGGCATTTAAATCTGGAAACATATTTATTAGTCGAAATTTATGTCAATGTCTTAAATTGGATATATTCATGGGTCGAAATTTCCCCTTCTGATAAATCGGTCAAAACTCAACCGATTTTCACGGGATTTGGTTTTCTTTTCATGGTTTTGCCTCTACTTTAATGTGGCATTTAAATCTGGCAACATATTTTTTAGTCGAAATTCATATAAAAATTTTACCCTCAAAAATCTTAATTAGTCGTTTTCCATTTTTCTTAATTTTGTAATTTTGGTTTACAGCTTTAAATTTCCCCAAAATTATATGCCTCAAAGCCTTCGATAGAGGTTTGGCAAGTTTTAGAACTTTAAATTGAATGCAGGGTATCTCTTAACCATGCATTTGGTTTTAGATGCTTTACATTTTTTTTATTTATTTTTTGTTGTTGCCATGCCAGGCGGCAATTACGCGTCACGCAGCTGGACGCCGCGGCAAAGAACGCGAGTTCCGAGCTCCGAGCTGCGAGCTGCGAGCTCCGAGTACGCAGCTCGTTCGGTGAGCTGCACACACACACACACACACACACGCAGAGAGATTCACAGAAATTGCCAGTGTAGGACAAGGTCGCATTTATTTGGTGCAGCCGCAATTGGGCAGCCACAACAGTGGATAACCAGAGGGGGCCGTTTCGGGCGGGCGGGCGGTCGGTCGGGCAGGCAATGGCTATGAGTTTGTGATTTGTATGGATATGTCGCGGGAGAGGAGCAGCATGCTGTGCACGAAGGTTACCTGCAGTTCGCCCACGCCACGCCACGCACACAAGCACACACACCTACACCCACACACAAACACACACACCCTCAGCCATGGAGACGTTGACAGAAATACTGAAAAATTATGAAATGAATACAAATATTTGCGGATCAGTGCGACGTTGCGACGTTGCACAAACACAGAGCGAAAGAGTCATCGCCATTGAATGTTGCCTTCAATGGGGCAGCATGGGGCGACAAAGTGCAAATCAAATGTGATGGATGATCTCAATGCTCAGTGTTATTTGCTTTTTTTTGTTGGTTCTTATGCAGCAGCGCACAAAACACAAATCGCAATCAAATTTGAAACGCCGCCTGAATAAGTCAGCTTTAGGCTGCAACATTTGCAGCTAATAACAAATTTCGAACAGAATTTGGACTATTTATATATAGAATTTCGAGTGCTCTAGTCGGGAATGCCCGGCTGGGTGGATACCCTGAAACTTATTCTACCAACACCAAATCGAGGTAGATATCGATATCGATTTTTATCGATTTATAGATTATCGGCAACAAACTCGTGCTACGCGGGAACTAGAAGCACCAACGTTTAACATTTCAAAGCCTCTAGTTCTTATAAGCTCTGAGATCGACGCGCTTTTACACACGAAAGGACAGACGGACAGGCAGAGGGACAGACAGACAGACATGGCTGGATCGACCAGGCTATTAATGCTGACCAAGAATATATATAGAATTTTCCCTTTCGCATAACTCAATCAAAACTCAGCCGATTTTCACGAGATTTGGTTTTTTATTCATGGCTTTGCCTCTAGTTTAATTTGGCATTTAAATGTTGCAAACATATTTTTTAGTCGAAATTCATGTCAAAATGTTACCCTCGAAATTGAATATATTCATGGGGCGAAATTTCCCCTTCTTATAAATCGGTTAAAACTCATCCGTTTTAAACAAGATTTGGTTTTTTTTTCATGGTTTTGCCTCTAGTTTAATTTGCCATTTAAATCTGGCAACATACTTTTTTAGTCGAAATTCATGTCAATATGTTACCCTCTGAAATTGGATATGGTCATGGGTCGAAATTTTCCCGTCTTATAACTCAATCAAAACTCAACCGATTTTCACGAGATTTGGTTTTTTATTCATGGTTTTGTCTCTATTTTAACTTCGCATTTAAATCTGGCAACATATTTTGTAGTCGAAATTCATGATAAAATTCATGTTAAATCGGATATAGGCGTTGATATTGACATGGGTCCAATTTTCATAATAAATCGGTCTAAGCTTAATCGATTCTCACGAAATTTGGCTTTTTGAACCCGGTTTTGCCTCTAGTTACTTTTGGTTTTTAGACCTGTTAATATATATTGGTTTAATGGTGGGTTCTTCAATGAGGAAAATCGGGCTCACAAAGCGAACCTTTAGGCGAGGCATTGGATTGAATCTTGATCAAATCGAGGGGCATAAACTTACGCACACTGGTTTGATTCTTTGAAACTACTCTTCTATTAAGTTCATAAGCTCTTTAAATGTCCAGATCAAAGTGTAGTCTTCAGAAAGTATGAGCTCACTTAGAACTTGAAACCATTTGCCATATTAAACATATGCCAAATTGTATCTCAGCTAGAAAACTTAGGCCTCTTCTCTCTCTAAGGCCCAAACATTCTCTATGCTGACTAATGATAGCTAATGTTTGATTTCAATGTGCTATCAATATGCAATATACAATTTTCAGTTGAAGGATGCCTGACTGGCTGCTGGCTTTTTGAAGTATTTTCTTTTGGAAAAACAATAAAAAAGAAAAATAAGGGAAAACTATTGCGAAGCACTGATTAATGACAAATTGTGCGGCATGCAAACAGCAAATGCTTTAGACCCAATTCCACTGGCCATCATCCAAGTCATTTAAAGTGGTTGCAATGCCCACAAAAAAAAAAGAGAAAAGGTTGTTACTATCCTGCACTCCCCTTCCTCCTCCCCTCCCCCTCACACACACAGCCAGAGACAGGCCCCCCCCCCCCCTTTTCCTGACGCTGTTGTTGACGCTTCTTCCGTTCGCTGGTTTAGTTTTTCTTTTAGCTTACTTTGCTGTTGTTGTTGTTGTTGCACATTTTATTAACATTTTCATTTAGTTGCATGCGCTCTCTCTCTCTCTCTCCCTCTCTCTCTTTTCATTGCAATTTGTGTTTCTATGCATTTTTGTGTGTGTTTTACATTCGTTTTCGTGTCGCGCCACCCACTGCCCAGTTGGCACGCCACCCACACTGCCCTCTCCCCCCTCCCCACCCCACCACTCCCCTTGCAACATTGTTGCCACTGTTGCGCTCTTTTGCAGTTTGTTGAAGTTTTCATAATCATTGTCGTCGTCGTCGTCGTCGTCGTGGTTGTTGCAGTCGCCGCCTTTGCTTTTGTTTTTGCACGTTTTGATTTTTTTTTTAAGCCGCCGTCGCTTTTGGCTGGGTCTGGGAGATTTTCCAGCATGAAAACAATGCCGGGAAAGCGGCTTATTTTCTATGATTTAAATAATGACGAAGACAACAGTCAGCAGCCACCTTCACTGCGGCCGCCTCGCGAAGTTGCCCATCATCATAATCACAATGATCATGATGATGTTGCAGTTGATACAATGGCTAAGAGACATTGATATAAGATATAACTCAGACTATTTGCTGTTGGCTTTTGAAAAAACACAGCGTAAAGGGTAGATACATTTTGTCAAGCAGAATGTGACGCTCAGAGGTTGACATCTATAAAGTGTATGAGTTGCTATGAGTATATATCTATAAAGTATATAGTACACATAAAGTATTGCTATATCTATGAGTATGCATAGGTCCGTTGGAATCGGCCGAATCGCAGAACTATATCATATACTTAGCTGACAAAGGAACGATCGGTGTAAGATTCTATTTATTTATTTTGTGAACAAGGATTTTGCCTTTGAAGATATCTGAAGCAAACTTGGTATTTATTGGTTAAAGTATGATCGGATTACAATATCATATAGTTGATATATCATATAGAATCATTGGTCGAAAATTAAGTTCTAATATGAAAAACATTTTTGTATTAAAAGATATTTTAACCAAACTTGGAACTAATTCGTTTTACTTAACTGCTAATATATGAGCAAAATCTTTTTTTATAAAAACGGAACATTATATCATATAACAACTAAAGAAAGAAAAGGTCAAAAATTGAAGTCTTGAATGGAAAACTTTTGTGTGCTTCAAGATTTCTTCATCAAACTCAGGATATACAAACTACACTATGCGCCTAATATATCTACAATTCCGTATCAGAGCGGACTACTATATATAAAAGATAGAATCGATCGAAAAGAAAGCTTTTGTAGAAGAGCATTTAATATTCGGCGTGCTGAGTATAGCTTTTCTTCTTGTTTTTGTGTCCATCTATATCATAGACAATAATCTTTTGTAGTTCTACACTTAGAGCATGCTCCATTTACATAAATATATTGCCAATAGCAAATTTGTCTAATGCAACATTTTTTGTGTTTCTATTGCAGCAAAATGTTCATTGGCGGCCTCAGCTGGCAGACCAGTCCAGGTAAGTCTTGGCCCACATCTCCAGCGAATCTCGGAAATTAGTTAAGCCATGTTAAGTTTGGCAATGCCCAACGGCAATTAGCATTTATTTCGTTATATATATATTCCATTTTGGCTCACAGTTCTGTGCTAATGAGCTGCCCACAATGAGTCGACTTTTAGATCAATGCAAATATATACCTCGGGTGTAGATAGAGAAAACACACGTTTCGTTGGGATTGAAAGCTAAAAAGATTTCTCAGAGTTTCCGGTTAGGTAGAAATGCAATCTTGACTGAAACAATCTAAGCGAAAAACGACTAATTTTTTAAAATTTTTTATTAAGAATCAGTACATAAGAATATTTATTAAGAACTTTGAATATTAATTAGAGTTTTTATTTATGTTATTATAAAATACCTAGCACGATTAATATTTATTTTTATTAAATATTATTTCATTGTTACTAATTATTTTATTTTTAATATATTAATATTTAATAATAATAAATATTGATCAAGCTGGGTATTTTAAAATTTTGAAGCGCACCTTGAAAAGAAAAACCATTTTGAATATGTTAAAATTTAAAAAACTTTTCCTAATTATTCAGCTAAATATTTAAAAACCTTTTTGCCGCATTTAATAATTGTTTTTTTTTTCTTTCAAAATCTAACGTTCAACTTTGATTCGATTTAAAAATAGATAAATGACTTATTAATAGAAAACACATAAATTAGATATTTATAGTTCTAATGCAATGTTCAATATTTTCTTAAATTTCCAAACTGGCCCAATTCAATTTACACAAAATATGTGCGGCTGCTTTGCTCAATACATATGTATATATAGATAGATATAGATTTATATATTCGTAGCGCAATTTAAATGAGCCAACAAATTGATTCATTATTCAGTTGAGTTGTTTATTTGACGATCGAATACAATGAACGACAATCGGGTTTTTGTTTTTAAATTGAAATTGTAATTGATGAAATGCTTGAGATTTTGCTGCTGCCGCGACGTAATTCGACGTCAATTGGCGGCAGTTGCACAGATGCGATCGCTGGCGGGGCAACTGTTGGCCAGGGGGGGGGGGGGGGTGGCTCGTTACAGTTGAAGGGTCAACCATTATATGCTGCATAGTTTCATTAGGCTAATCAAAAGGCGGCTGCACTGTGCCTCATATTAACCAAATTTGATGCCAGACCAAAAAAAAAAACGGGCCACTCGAAATGTTGGCCAAAAAATAAACGACGGCAAGATGCCTTTTGATGCTCGGCTTGGCCAACTTGGAGTTTTGCACTCTGCTGCTGCTGCTGCCGCCAACACATCCGCCGCCGCAGTGCACACACACACACTCACACACACACACACACACTTGCACAGAGTCAGCCGCATTGCCTTTTTGTGTTGTTGTCGCTGTTTTTGTGTTTTTGTTTAGCGAAATTGTTGGCTCCGCCCATCATCAGAATGGCACTCGGCATTACGCTAACATATTATAACCTATAGCGCATATCTACACACACACACACACACACACATTCATATGGCAGCGCATATATGCCGCAATAGTTGAAGAGTCAATGCGGTCTTTGGTTTGTCTCTTTTTGTTTTTTTGCCTTTTTTCCTCGTTTTTTTTTTTTATTTTGGTTTCACGTTTTTTGTACCTGTGCCAAAAAAATTTTCAAATTTTCAAATGGCTTCTTCAATCGTTGGGACCCAACTTGAAATTTCGCGAACATGTGTGTGTGTTTGTGTGTGTGTGTGTGTTTCCCCCCTCCCTGCTGCCCTTTTTTGTTATCTTTGCCCATTTGCTGTGTGTCTTGAATCTTTTTTAATTTTTATTGTTTTTTTTTCTTGCTTTTGCTTTTATTGTAATTTTGCTTTTTGGCATACGCTGGTTGGTTGGCTTGGTAAATTAGACAAAGTCTGAAATATCTTGTGTTAAATTAAAGACTTGCCCACAAATGTTTATTTAGCTCAGAAAGTGCAGCATTATTGTCACACAGTGTTGGTTAACGGTATGTAGAGCAGCTTATTATTCGCTTCGAAACGGTTATTATCGGTTATACACAAATAAAGTATCTTCAAGTTCTTGTGAAACGGATTTATAAAAGAGAAAAACTGAATTAGATGGTAATGTCTAGTATTTTTTATAACAAATCACAGTCTGTAGGAAAAACTGAAATGGATACCAATATCTGGTATTTCTAATAACTAATTACAGACTATGGGCGAATCGGTTAAAGCAGTTATGAATCGGTTATTAAACGTTTATGCTGAAGTTGATGTCTAAACAATGCTTTGAGATACACGAAACGGTAGAAGGCCGCATGTGAATCGGTAAAAACGGTTATAGATCGGTAATATTAATGCAATAACGAGTAAAGAAGAGAGAAGGAGAGACGGACATAAATGTTTTGTAAGCTATAATGTGTATCAAGGTATGCATATATAGTTAATGGGTTTGAAATGGTTACGAAACGGTTATGTTATAGTTATAAATTGGTTAAGACACATATGTAAAGTTTTAAAAGTGGTTTTCTAACACTCTTCAATGTACCTTTTAAAAGCGGAAATATAGTAGTTAATAATGTAATATGAAAGTTAGCAAATGGTTTTCTAACACTTGCTAATGAAACGGTTATGAAACGGCAGTGTAATAGTCATGAAATGACTATGAAATTGTTATGTGATAGCTGTAAAATACTTTGAAATGCTTTTTTAATACATATTTGTGTAAAGGTTATGAAACGGAAATACTAAAGTAAAAAAATGCCTGTTTGATTGTTATTTGATAGGTGAAATAATTTAAAAACACCTAATTTTGACATGCCACTGAAACGGTTATGAACCGGTTGTATCAATAAGCCCCGTTTGCAACCGTTTATGCGACAATTATGCCTTTTGCAGCATTTAAGCACCCGCACTGCACACTTCACACCAATAACAACTGCCACAGACTGCGATCATGCAATCTGGCACTCGCCTTCAAGCTGTTTCGCCCGTAACTTCTGATGTTTGAGTCTTAGACATTGCCTGCGATGCGGTCTTAGCTGCAGCTGCTGCTCTAGTGGATCCAGTCGAGTCTCTTGGGACAGCCGGAACAAGCGGCTCAGCTGAGGCTCGCTGCTCAAGTGGCAACCACTCGCGCCAGAGCTTATGCTTTTGGATTTCTTTTACACCAGCTATCGCCACTCGAGCACACACACACACACACACAAACACACAGAGAGACACGCAGTGGCATCTCCCACACACAGTAGACACTCGAAAAATGTGCTGACAAAGACCTAATCTAGGGCGTCTATAAACATGCGCCGGTTTCTAAAGTCTAACTGCAATAGTTTGGGGGCCTGCCTTAGACAGGTCGGCGACGTACGTGTTGATAACTGCCGAGAGATGAGACTGAAAGAGAGAGAGAGAGAGAGAGAGACTGTGGCTGGGTGGGTGGGGGACGGCCATCCGCATTGCAGTGCGCTCGAGCTCCCAGATTTTTAATGATTGGCACGATTGTCTTGGCTACTTAATGATGTGCCCAAGTGTGCCGACCCACTACTCCGACTGCCGCATATCTCACATAGGTGCCGAGGCGCCTCTTTGTGTCATTTTCGTGTCAACTACCAGGCTGCATATACATATAACTTAATGAACTTTTCAAAAAACACCAACCCCCCACCCATCTACGCCACCTTACTCCACCCCAACCCGCCCCGGCTGCGTAATTTAATTTTAATTTCGCAAGCAGTTTACTGGAAGTAATTTTGTATGCATTGAAAATATATTTGCTGCTATCGCATGGAAAACACTCGACGCTGACGACAATGCTGCCGAGTTCGAGTCTGACAGAGCGACAGATAGACAGATAGACAGACAGACAGTCGCCCAATTCAAACGAAAAATACGCAGTGTCAAAACTCATGCTCGCCAGCTTTCAATACCCTTTCCGAGGGTATTTGAATTTTACTCGCTTTTAATTTTATGTATTTGTCTATTTTTATGTATTTTAATCCTTCAGGTTGGAAGTTTACTTGACAAAACTTATTCGCACATATTCATTAATGTTTCTCCAGGTCAGACATTAATCAAAGTCTTTCGGCTCAAGCCACTGTTCAATTAAAAATAAAATAGAAATTATACATATCTTATGCAAAGCTTGTAAAAATTTTAAATTTGTCCCCAAATCCCAGCCACTATCTTGACAAATCGTATCCAATATTTTCGTTTCTATGCACCTAACTATTTGGCCAAAAACTATAAGCTTCCGATAACTATATCGTTTAGCTGGCATAGGAATTATTGGCCTAGATTTTAGCTAGTAGTTGATGTTCGTTTATTTATATTAAGATTCAGGCACGCTATCGAGAACCGAGTGCTATTATATTTGGCGAAATCTTATTAGCATCGGATTACTATATCATGCAAGAATAATCGGTTGGTAATTAAGAGATACCTATTGTATAAATATTATGCTACAACATTATACAATCTTGAGAACCATCTCAATCTTTTTGGGCCCTTAAAACTATACACATAGTTAACTTAGGCAATTGAACTTTTTTATGATTCCAGCGTATAAGCAAAAACTCATCTATATTGCACTACTATATCATATATCATATATTACATATCTTTCATATCATATATCATATCATTGGATAATTTGCTTGAAACTGAGTTCTTTTATTTATTACCTCTATGTTTTCTCAAGAATTCTCAACCAAACTTGGCATTTATGAACTTTTTCTTTGCTTCTTACATATTCGAAAAATAATATTTACATCGACTTACTATATTTTATATCTATTTATTTGGTATATTTCAAAAAGGAATAATCTTATAGCCTACTTCTATAACATATCTGGCAGAGTATTCAATCTTCGGCACATTCGTAAATATACCCTAGCTTAGTTACCTTTTCACAAGCTAAGCAAATGTTTGAATAAGATAAATAGAAATAATATTATACACTTCTTCGATAACAAGTCTAGCAGGGTATTCAATCTTCGGCGCATATGTAAAT